AGCGATTTCATCAAGCATGCGTTATGCACTTAAACCATTTTCATAAGTGGGAATTAATTAACAGTAGACGTTTTTAATTATATGGTAACAGGGATCGCCTTTATAACTTAACTTAATCTAACAGTAGATGTCTGCATTAAGACCAGAAAACTTTTTAGAAACCAACTTCCACTTTTTCGAAGAACATTTTGATTGGTCTATAAATTCTGCCTATAGACTAAATTAGTTGATGAAAACGTAACGAGCGTAGGCTAACGTTAGCCCTAAAACACAAATAAATTATCATGTCATGTCAAATTGTTATGTCACAGTTCAGACTAGAGCAAAATAGGTGAGATATGAATTTCAGGTGTCACGTGTTATGTCACCAAGTCACTTGAGACACAAAATTTCTTCTGAACAGCTGATGAAATTTCTTTTACGTTCATTTTTACGTTTCCTCTGATTTGTACTTCTACTCACAAAATGGTATACATTTTTTTCCATAAGGTAGAACCGATCAGCTGATTGCCCTTGGTACGACCATACAGCCTTAAATGACTTCTTCATATTATTGTCGCTTAGAACAGCTGTTCTATTAATTTAATTGTCAATAAATCCTTATGTGAATAGGGAGAATAACGACCCAATGTATATTTAATTATTAAAATAAATAATATATTCACTTAACGTTTTTTTTTTTCTCAAATATTGCCAAAAGTCTTGACAACTTACCATTTACAGCAAATTGTATGAACCGGCAAACATTGGTTTCAACAGATGATGAAGCTCCAGAACTGATTGTATTTAAAGAGGTTCTTAAACTTGGAATTCACAGTCAACTAATATACGCGGTTTAAATTTAAGGGGCTTAAAAGACATTTGGGAGTTTTCATTTGTACCCATAATAGTTTAGTATTTAGAAACTATAATTCAGTTATATGTATATATCGAGGTACTCGCAGCTTACGAAACATGTCCTACACTTCCGCGAAGTTTAAAATCTGTTTAAAAATAGATTTTAAGATTAATTTTAAGAGCGTTCCACATAAAATGAAGAGTACTATTGAGAGTTGACACCCAAACTTTAGAATTCATTTTAAGATGTCTACTTAGTGCTAGAAAATAATATTTTTTTTAAGCTAATAATAAACCGATTACAGGAAAATCGATTTTCAGAACCCAAAAACAAATTTTAGGGTTTGCTTAAATGGACCAATGAAACACAAGAAAAGATTGCCTATTTTTCCTTGGCGTTATATTAAAAAAATATGTATTTTTTAAGAGGCATATATTTTTAAAAAATTCAGATCATGTTTTTGGTATCATTTATTGTTCATTAAATGTCCTTTTTGTTGACAGATCCTTCCATTTTCATTCTGTTTTCTTCCACCGAAATCATCTTATTGCTACACGTAGGTGCATCATTCATTTCTACGGGTTTGCTTGAGTTGCGAGGTGTGCCGCTTTCTACACAGTTTTCGGTGACTTGATGAATATTTGGATCTTGACCCAATTCTTGGCTTTGAATATTATTTTCGATGGCCGAAACCACACAGTCCCCGGTATTATCATTATCATTAGTTTCTACTTCATTAATGACATATGCGTGACTATGTGCAGCGATAATATGCTCTTCAAAAAGTTCACTTTCCCAAAAAATGTTTGAGCAAAGAATACATTTATATTTTATTTGACCGGAAGCAGTTTCTAAAATACTCCCAACTCTAATTCTACCACTTGATTTTGCCAAATTGGACTCCATGTTTTCTTCACATATAGTTGATAATATTTTATCATTCGATTCTTTAGTATTAATTTTCTTAAAATTTTTTACCAAAAAACTTTTATGAAGTTACACGGCGTCAGGTTAAATAATTTGACAGCTGAACTTGACGACGTCTTGTTATTCTACTACGAATGAACTAGATGTGACACAGCAATAGCCCTGTATATATACAGTGCTCGATGGGTCAACTTTCTTTTCTATCAGACTTTTCTATCAGGTACGAAAGACATACTGACAAAAAAAAGATTACATATATATGTGTATTATGAGCACTTTTTTTCTATTAAATAAATGAGATATAAGCGTACCTCATTTCAATAGCCATTCTGTCGACGATTCGTTATAAAACTTACAAATGTGACGTCATGAACGTATAGTTAAAAAATTAAACTTCCAAAGCAGCTGATTCTATTTAAGATAAAAGCGGAAATGTCTCAAAAAAAGTTGAAAAAATTAATTAAAAATTTAAGTACGATTTTAATATTTTATTTCAAATAATATTTCCTTTTTATTCTTTTAAACACTTTAAATTTCAAATCGAAACTAATGTCATTTTTGATTGGTGAATCTGAGGTTATTTTTTTAATCGAGAAGCACTTTTAATGCAGTTTTTATTTTCGATTGGTAAATCGATTCAGATCAATTTATGACACTCTAGATAATTTGCAAGAGCAGCAAGATAACTCTGACGACAAAAATCGTGAGTTAGTATTAAGTTGATCCTAAAAGCGCCTAATGTAATAGAAAACTATTAATTTATAGTTTAAACGTTTTAATTTGAATACTTGATGCTATTAACCCAAATGAGGTCTTAGAATCACATCTTAAAAATGGATAATACAGTTTTCAATCTTTTCAATGTTTGTTTATTTTTGAGTATATTATTAATTGGTCATAAAACCAGAACAACAATAATTGTTTTTCTTTAATTATTAATTAATATTAATTTGGAATGAATAATTTATTTAGTAACAGCGATTAAAACTACCACCCCTCTTAAACGCTCCATCACATCGCTTCTTCAAGTCATCAAAGCATTTCAACATTTTCTATAGTTTTTCTGGTACTTCCTGGACAGCTTTTTCCAAAATATGTATAAAATCCTTTGCATCTTTTCAATCTGAATGTGTTAGATAACTAATGGAATCGCCCAACGCGTACTATTCTGCCGATGCGATGAACATACTCCTCTAATTTTGCGGAAAATCGAAGTTGATAACAAACCTGAGAAAAAGTCATTTCAAACATTTTCTGTATCAAATAATACTTACACTAAATACTTACGAATTACGAATCATCCAGTGCATTTTCTATTGGACTAAAAAAAATTATTTCAAATAACAACGAATTTTCCAAAGTGTATTCTTTATAATAAAAGCAATTGTGAGGAGTGTAAAATACTGGCAGAGGTTGGTCTTAAAAATCGTGAATTTCGTGAAGTCTCTTCGTACATGACTTGGATCCATAATACTCGTATTAAAAACAATATCATTATTTGCGTAAAGAAGAGTTATATACATATTTTATAAGAACTATTTTAGTTAATTTTAATTTTTTTGGTTACGCCTATAATTTATATTCCAGTTCACTGATAAATTGTATAGTTTTTGAGAAAATCCTTTCATATGGAAAGATATTATTTAAGCAGCACACATTGCCTAAAACAAGAGAGATAAGAAGCAGAGTTTAGTACTTAACAGCATTTAATTGGTTAAATTTTTCTTTTAATTATATTATATATATATAATAGAATATATGTAATACTATATAATATATATATTTTTTTATAAATATATTTTTTTAAATACATTTACTATCAGGATTTTCTAATATGGTTCCAAAGAGATTTCCTATTTTTTTATGCTTAGTTGGGTGTGTTGTTTTGTACGAAAAATTTCAAAAAAAAACCAGGTAAAGTTATAAAATAAAACAAAAATATTTTTACGTATCTCTGTTTCTTTTTATAAAAATAATAAATTTTTGCACTACATATAACTGAAACTATCCCCAGTCAGGGTGAAGAAATATTGTCCTCTCATTGAGGCAGCATCTTAGACCAATTGATCACGATTTGGAATTCTCTCGCAAAGCCCTTTACACAGTTTTTGAATAAACATGTTTACTCAGAGCATAAGCGACGTCACTAACTAGTTTTGGGGCACTAACTTTTGGGCTCTTATGCACTTTCTTCCGGATATAGCTAACATCTGGACGAGAAAGTGTTTTTGGTCGTTTTGGTTTGCGTTTTCAAGCGATATTTTGGATACTTAAAAATGTGAATATTCAATTATTTTCCTATTTCTCGATAGGATTCACCTTGTTTAAAGTGCTTAGCTACCAAAATATTAACACTTGACCCATGATCCTTTTCCTTGGCCCATAATGACTCATATAACTTACACAGACAATAATAAAAATGCAACTTATCACTAAATTTGAATAAAAAGAGAAATATAACGATATATATATATATGTGATATGATATGTATATGATGTGTATATGTATATGATATATATAATAGTAATGTCAATACACATTAAGTACAGCAGTAATTAATCTCCAATCTTTTTACTAATAAATTAAAGAGGTAAAAAAAATGGTTCATACTTACTTAAATCTTGCTGATGTGTTCTTGAAATTATTTATATATCATTGGTTATATATCATTATATAATTATGATTTTATATCAATATAAATTCAGTTTAGTCTGCGATCGTCGTTCGTATGATTAAGAAAATGCTTAGGTCTTTTGAGTTCGCACTGTGATGAGATTTGTAATTTCTATTGTTTTTTTATTTTTGGTGTTTAAAATAAAATTATATTGCGTTTTATGTCGAGATTTTTTTGTTGTTGTTTTTTTTTAAATATAATGACACTGCCTTATGGCAATGAACCTTCACCTTTTTTCAAAATCTTCTTAATACTTATATTTCTTACTTGGTTGATACTACCACTTGGTTTTGTTACTAGATTGGGTACACGTCCATCTTCTGGTTCAAATTTCATACCGCTAACATCTGCTTTTTCTTTCTTTATAGGAGCTTGTAATTCTTTCCCAAATGTAGGGTAAGAATTATCTATTAAACTTTCAGTGAATGATGTATATGTATCATCGTCATCATCATCATCATCATCATCGCTTTCGTAAACATTTGTAGTCGAACCTGTATTTTTTATGCCAAATGATTGTGGTGTAAAACGAATGCTTGAGTTATCGCTGTATTCAACAGACCTTGATGTTCCTGGCTGTTCGTCGTCTCGAAGCATTCCATCTTCACTATTTACCACTGAGAATGCATCACCATTGCTTGCTGTTGTACTAGTTATTTTGGATGTTTTATGCAGTGCTCTTTTTTTAGGAGCATTTTGTTCTGACCCATCTGTACACCGTCGTCTAACACGCTTGATTTTCTCAAATAATTCGGGATGATCGTAATAAAATTGATTATAAATTTTAAACTCTGAAGGATCAGCTAATTTTCCAATTTTCTTGCATTCCTCTATCCATAAGACTCGCACTATTGGTATATTTAAGTTTTTAGCTTTTGTATAATTTTTAAAACTGCCATCTTTGAATACTAAGTGGGTGATTTTAGGTGTTATACTTCGTGCTATCTTAGCCCCAAAAACTTTCATATGTGATTTAATTGAATTGGAGACATTCATATTTCCTGCGTGCACATCAACAAACGCAACAACTTCATCTAAGAGTTTTTTCATGGATGTTAGTGGTGCTGCTGCGTCAGTGGTGTTGGTAGTTAATGGTGTTACCACTGCGCCGTCAAGAACGAAACTTTCACTATTATCCATTTTAATAAATTGTCTACTATAAAAAATTGATATTAAAAGAACAAAAATTATTTATTAAATCATATATATATAGAAAAAAGCGATGTCTACTATACTACATAACTTTTCTTTAATTAGAACAAACCAATTTCTAGAAATATCTACTAATGATTTTTTTAAATTAGAACCAACCAATTTCTAGGAATTTCAATTAATGATTTTCTTAAATTCGAACCAACCAATTTGAAGAAATTTTGACTAATGATTTTCTTAAATGGGAATCAACCAATTTCCAGAAATATCAAACTTATAACAAAACTTTTGATATCCTGTGTGTAAAAAATGTTTTCTCCATTTTCGGAATTGAGAAAAAACACTTTCACTAAAATTAAAGTAAGCTAGTTTTTAGCCAACTTATTCACATCATAAGAACTTCACAAAACACTTAATTTTAAGAAATTATTGTCTAGAATATTTGAAATCAACAAATTTTGTATAATTACCAACTTATTAGGATCAAGAAAATAGTAAAAATGTGAACTCTCGGAACGACGAACAAATTCAAGTCACAAAATTTTGTTTAAAGTTTACTTTTTTGGCATTCAAAACCTCTTGAAATACTAAAAGTTTACTACCTTTTACTACTACCTTATGAGGTACATCAGGACAACCCTACACATCAGCATTTGTTCGTCACCGCATTATCATTTATATTGTAATTTTTAAAAATTAAATAAAATTATTTAATAATCCATTTAGAAAACAACAAACCAATAAGTTAGCAGACACTCATAACAGAATATCTGATTTAAAAGGAGTTAACAATGAGGGAAAATTCCATTTAAAAAAAAAACTAGTACAGTTGAGAAAGAATATGGTTAACACCTAAGGCCGAATTTAAGAACCAAATATTTAAAATAAATAAAAATGCAGACGTTCTAAATATATGTAATGAGGCTGCCAAACAACATCTCATGAAACGTGAAGAAAATCACAGAAGAAACCTCATTGTAGGAAAATGAAAATTAGAAACCGTTTGGAATGACTTTGGCGAAGCAGAGGAATCCAACGAAATGCCGCAAAACAACAGAGATCAAAAATTTGTGAAGTCTCCACATGTCGATAAACAAAATAATAAACAAAAAACAGTAAATTTAAAAAGAAGTTTGATTGACAGGAAGATAAAAAACAATAATCTGTAAACTACTATAGGCGTTTTCTTTTGTAAGTATATCACAAAAGAATAACTGCTTATATTAAAAATAACATATGAAACAGTAACACTGCGGGCTTATTTAGTCCAACCTTTTTGAAACCGCTTAACTAATAAGTAACTCAAATCACATGGTTGCCAACACTAAAAATTCATCTATTGTGAATAACTACGAAATTTCCAGTTAACTGTCAACGAATGATTTTATAAACCGCAAACTATCTAATTTTTACAGTTTTCGAAGGAACATTTATTATAAGAAAATGTAATAATAAATTAACATTTTAACTCAAAGAGGCTGAGTTTCTTCTTACCGGTTGATTTTAGTGACAAATTGAAAGTGAGCATATCTACATTTCCTTTTACATTTTAGCACAAAATAAAAAATATCAAAAAGTAGTGAAAATACAAAATTCACAATAAATCATTTTAAATAAAAATGTTTTATACTGGATTCAGTAAATTT